AAATGCTATATATACTCCACTTCTCGCCTTCTACCCCACATCACCACTTGTTTTATGCGCATATCTGCCCTTCGCTTGCATGGCCAGCAAACCAAATCCCCAAACATGGAGACGATACCGTTGTTCGTGACATATAGCTACACTTCCCTTCGCCAGATTGGATACTGTCTTGATATTTATAGTTATAGCTACATAAACTGGTGGCAAACGTACCCCGCTACGATCATCGACACGAGGTAAGAGGAATTTTCAGCCCTAGAAACGTTGGGTTTATATCCGCTGTATCTCAAAGTATCGTCATTCGCTCACTCGCCTCAGGAAGCCTACCCGTCGGCTAGGCCCAGTCGATGTCGCAGCAGTACGCAAGCTTCACTAATATTACAAGAACAATAGTTATATATCTTCCAATAAACATGTCCTTCCACGACTTAAGGGAAAGTATCGAAAATCAATAGTAGGCCAGTTACGAGCTCTGCACTCTACTAACTAGTATTTACTACGTAGTCTATTGATCATTGACAGTTGCAACCACGGGCCGGGCCACTGTTAACAGCCAAGCTCTTTCTCATTAACTTAAATACTCGGTGTCCGTGATCACCTATAAGTGAACGACAGTACCTGCGTTAGAGCAGTATGCATAATAACTGGGTATGATGACGGCAGGTTCCGATGAGCACACGACAATGTGGCAAACTCCAGTCCAGTGTCAAAGGCCTTCGCCAACCTCCGAATCAAACATCCCTTAAGAGGAGAGGAGAATGGTGCTTTACTTGGCGAGTCTAGGGCGAGAAAACTTGCTTATCCATAACTACATAGTACGTTCTTATCCCCCAATTCTCCAATATTGGAATGTTACACAAAATGGAGGGGTTTCCCACTTACCTATTATGTCGATCCGCGGTGAAAGATATCCAAATTACTACTATCATAGACCGAAAATTACAGAGCATCAATTGGGTTTTGAAAATACTACAAAAGGGAGGTATGAAATATCACGGACGATATCTCAGTACCTACATGATGTAGGTACTCCCTTGAGCTGTGCCTCTCCAAGTTTATTTCCTGGCTTGCATGCGGGTTTGATCTTTTAGGGAGGTAGATGGAGATGTTAAAGTAAAACCGAGGCGTCATACACTGAACTCTTACTTGAAAAGATGGCCGCTATTAAACAAACAGCATTCACGAACCAACCACCGCTGTGAGGTGCAGATAACACACCAAGATTGGTCTTCTTGGCAGCACCGGGGGTTTCTTCCGTATGGGGAAGGCAATAAAGTTGTCCGAGACACAACAGCCACCCGAGATAAATGATCGTCATTTGTTTTTGTTTATTTCCTTTCTATCTTGCCTACATGTAGCTACATGTATGTACCTACAATATCACCATTAGCTACCACCGATACCGCGCGCGGGTAGTATTCGCTATCGGAACAATAACTACGCGATGTATATCTAAGCATCAAACCTTATTTTCAACTGTGCTTGAAGACGAGAGAGCTGATTGTAGACACAGGCAGAACATCACGAGACAAGACCATGAGAACGCACGGGTTAGAAGGAAGGAAGACAGCAGGGACAGGGGGAAACGCACCACTACCTAATTGGTAGATCTTCACGCTGAGCCGAGGGTTGCGGGATCATGATAGTAATACATACATCGATATAGTAATGCATGGACTCACAGGTAACTCCACTTCTAGCCGGTGGAGTGGCAATAGGTACAGACCATCAAAGCTGTTCCCCACATAGAAGGTGGTGTTCATTGCACCAATCGATTGCTTTCATGGCGGCGCGATGCCATTCGCAATTTCAGATGTATTTGTTCCAGATTATGTCTTAAATCACAAGTGATGTCGTACATGAGTAACTACTAGCCTTCGGTGCAGGAGCCTTTCCCGGAATACCTCTCCCGGTATTGATACATATATAAGATAGCTCTTCCATCTGAGCAACATTTCTGTTCTTCACCGTTGGTCTCCTTCTTCCACCCAGCACCGAGGAATTCTTTACCCATCACGATGAAGACTTTTGCAACCACAATTGGCCTCTTTGCCCTCGCTGTCTCTGCTGTGCCTTCCACTTATCACCGTCCTGGTCTTGTACAGAGTAACCAATTGAGACGTGACCTCACGCGATCGGCACTTCTTGAGCATGCAAAGAAGTTGCAAGGGTTTGCAGAGGTGACGGCTCCTGCGATTACTCGTGTCGCCGGCAGTCGCGGTCATAACTTGACCGTTGATTATATCTATGATACTTTGGTTAAGACTGGATACTACGATGTCGAGCTCCAGACATTTACCTATGTATTTTCTGAGGGCAATGTGACCGTCTCAGCGGCCGGTACCTCGTATGAATCACAGTACTTCCAGTACGCTCCGGCCGGAACTGTTGAAGCTCCTCTGATCTCTGTCTCAAACTTTGGTTGCGAAGCTGCAAGTATATTCCATATCTCCACAGACTGCAGTAACTTATTGACCTCCAAACTATAGGCCGACTTCCCTACAACTGTTTCCGGAAACATCGCCCTTGTTTCCCGAGGAACCTGTGAATTCGGGCTGAAAGTAGCACTCGCAGGTGGTGCCGGAGCCAAGGGAATTATTATCTATAATAACGTCCCGGGTCCTGTGGGCGGTGGTACTCTCGGCCCCGATGAACGTCCCGAGGGGAAATACATCCCCGCCGGCTCACTCTCTCAGGAAGACGCTCTCAGCTTGATATCAAAGCTCAACAATGGCACCTCCATCACCGCAAACCTAGACGTCGACGCCCTCGTTGAGACCCGTTACACCAACAATGTGATCGCAACCTCCAAGTGCGGAGACCAATCCAACATTGTCTTCTCCGGCGGCCACACCGACTCAGTCCAAGCCGGCCCTGGTATCAATGATGACGGCTCAGGGTCCATGGGAATTCTGGAGATTGCTCTTCAGCTCACAAAATTCACTGTCAACAACGCCGTCCGCTTCGGCTTCTGGTCCGCTGAGGAGTTTGGTCTCCTTGGCTCCGAGCACTACATTACCACCGCCCCGGCTGAAGAACTTGCCAAGATCTCGCTTTACCTCAACTTTGACATGATTGCCTCCCCCAACTTTGCGTACTTTATCTATGACGGCGACGGTTCAGCTTTCAACACCACTGGCCCCGCAGGCTCTGACCACATCGAGCACCTGTTTGAGGACTATTTTACCAGCGTCGGGATCAAGACCGCTCCCACCGCGTTCGACGGACGTTCCGACTACGGTCCTTTCCTAGACGTCAATATCCCCAGCGGCGGTCTGTTTACCGGAGCCGAGGGCCTCAAGACCCCCGAAGAGGTAATCTGGTGGGGTGGTGAGGCTGGTGTCGCATATGATGTGAACTACCACGCTGCAGGGGACGATATCACCAACTTGAACATGGGCGCATGGATCCAGAACACGAAGGCGGCGGCGCATGCGATCGCGACATATGCGGTATCGACGGAGGGAATCCCTAAGAGGACGGGACAGCAGAAGAGGGGCGTCAAGTCGGATAAGCCAAAGGCGAGATGCGGCGAGGACATTCCCATTGCGGTGATGTAAAGTGTAGATGCAGGTTTTGGCTTTTTATGATTGATGAGATATGGTTTGGAATGTATATACCCGTCATGACTTTCCGGCGATACACTCGGGTGGGTTAATGTAACAGTTTGTATGAATGAAGCAATAAAATACCTAACGGGACATGAAAGACTTCTCGTCAACCTTCCCGCAGTGTGCGTAGTTAACATGCGGCTTGTAGAAACGCCACAGGGGGCCCAAAGTTACAAAAGACAGGTGGTGTGTGCGTGTGTCGTGGAGTGGGAAAGCATTTGGCTTTAGCTCTAGCTGCCAATCTCAAACGTCAAAACAAAAGTAACCAGAAATCAGCGCGTGAAAAGGAACATTGCCAAAGAAGGTTTGAATACACTGTACATCTCAGCCCACGGCCGCAAAGACGAGGCTGAGCGTGAGGTCATATATGTAGCCACCCCAAAATCACAGGATCCTGGCCCTGTAGCTAGGCCATGCCATAGATCAGACCCTTCAGCGCCGTTTCAATAGGTCGACTCCATATACCACGCCAACCAATACCATTGCCCGGACCCAACGCAGCCACGACCACTGTTACGGCTGATTCGACCCAACTGCCACCCCCCGGCACCGAATCCAGTCTAATCATGTCAATCAACCGGAAGCAAGCACCGAAGCCACATGTAGAGAGCACATGGTAAATGTGGTGTGCTTAGGCGGGGATGGTGTACCTACATGTACTCTCGGCCACCGGGGTAGGCGGCTGACGTAGCAAATGAGTGTTGACAATCACCACCTATCACTCGTCGAGCGCCCCACCCCCCGCTAAACGGCAATCGCCGCGCTTAAGGTCCAGTACACACCCCATCACTCGCCATGTAACTAGAGGGAATATGATCAAGTACCCCCGCTTCTAATCTCCATTTGTATTCTACATATTAGTGCGCACCACCCCGCGTTGTGTTGGTCTTTGGCCCGGCAGCTAGATATTAATTGTTTGGGGGCCGTCTATGGCTGATGACGCGTCTTACAAGGGCCGGTGTAGGTAACAATATATACGCATTTTCAGAACACACTATCATTCACCCCCCCGCCTACTTAATTCCCTATGTACAGCGGTAGGTAATAAGTGATTGAACGGGCTGAGACACAGTGATACCAGTTTTGGGTAAAACGCCACCAACATACGGTGTTTGCAGGTATAACTGTATCTCAGGGCGTTCCATCACTTATTACCCATCGCTGTATGTATTCTATCGAATCTATATATCCTATTTACTCTAAATTGAGACCCTCCCACACGAAACTCTATGAAATAAACAAAGAAAAATATCTGCATGCCGGCAGACACAGTGAATATTGAACTCATTTGTACAAAGAAAAAGAACAAACCAAAAAGAATGCTTCCCATTTTTTTAGCCGTAATAACGCCGTTGCCCGCTTGAAAATGTCCCTCGAACCTCGAATTCTCTACTTGTCGGACAGTTCGTCCACCCAGGTAGCCTCATCGTAAGCTGTAGGTACTCTGTAGACTTGATCTTCCCCATTATAGAGCCTGTTCATCTCTAGCATGAGTCGCCAGACATATACAATCATGTCCTCACTAGAGCACAATTAGCCAGAGACTCAGAAAATAGTTGCAGATAGTTCTAGTAGTAGACTTACTTCCTCATATTCTTATCCGCCCAGTCCTTCCCGGCCTCCGCAATCTTCTTCGCCTCCTCTTCATGGGCCACGATCTCCGGTGCGTCCTCTCCGCCTCCAAGAAAATATCCCAATACATCGTACAGCTCATCCATCTTCGCACTGATGGGGACAAAATGGACCCACGGCACCATTCTCTCTGAGTACCACTCGTGGTAGATTGTGCTTTTCAGCGCGAGGCTCTTTGACACGATTAGTGCCCTCCATCTTGCGCTGTAGCCCCAGCCGTCAACGTCGATTACGTATTTCCATCTCCAGACCTCCTTCAAAGGCTTATGCTCGCCGAACTTGAAGAATGAGTTGAGGGCGTTGCATTCAAAGAAGTTACAGTTGTCTTGTGCGATTTCAACAAATGTGACGTTGGTAAACTGTTCGTCATAGTCGGTCTTTGATATGTATTTTGCGAGCATATTATTCTCTGCGTCTGCTCCAGTAAGGGTGAAGTTTAGTTCTGTCCCTTCTGCTGGAGCGGGCATGGGCGGATTCGTCATCGTAACGAGTCTGTGACGGTGCATCTGGTATACTTAGAATCATTGGTATTAGGGTCAGGTGAAAGGGTGTTCTTACAGATCCAAATTCTTTATCGCCGTAACCGCCACCAGTGGGGCTACCACGCCAGTATAATCCGTTCTCCTTTTTATCCCAAGGCATATCTTCCTCAGGGATATATTTGTAGTCCGGATTACCACCATATTGATAGCTCGTTGGAAATAGAATATCGCTGTAAGCACTTGGAGCGCCGAATGAAAGCATTGGGTAGAGACCTCGAGTGGTAAGGTGTGTTGTGCGGAATCCAGAATGATACTACAGCAATAAAACCTTGTTAGACCAATCATGAAATGTATCACTCGAGAGTGATATCTTAAGAGGAAGAAACTGGCATACCTGAGTGAGCTCCGGATGATTGCAGACATCAACATCCTGCAACCATTCCAACCCCTCCAACTTCGCCATCTCCACTATTTCCACCTCAACCTTCACACCATCCTCTCTGAGCTCCATATCATCCCATCCTTCATCTCCACTCTCCCCATCTTCCTTCTCCTCCACTTTTTTCGAAACTCTGAATGTTGGGTTTGCCTTCGCAAACGCACTGTCCTCTCCACAAGCCTTCGCAACACTCCTGATCAGGCTCATCTCCCCAAAACCATGAGCCTCCCACACCTCCTTCGAGAACTCATATCCCTCCAACCCCTCCGCCTCTTTGCCTCCTTTCAGTACCCTACTATTCCAATCACCCCCCAACACTCTGCTCTCCGCAAGCTCATTAACAACCACATCAAACTCCTTCCACTTCCGCTTCGCCAGAAGCTTCTCAACCGGCCTCAGCATCGAGATCAGTCCCTCCGTTCTCTCGGTCCTCGCCCCAGTTTGAAGTACCATCTCATACTTAAACTCATTCCCATCTCCACTGACGCGCAGCAGATTTACATCATTCGGTATGCGGTTCAGTATTGCTGTTCTCCGCCTAACCTCCTCCGGACCTAGCTTCCGGAAGGGCACGAGGGATTTCATCATCTCGTCGAATTCATCGATGAGTACTACATTTTGCGATTGTGCGTAGTTGAACCAGTCGTCAAATCCATCTGGAGGCGCCATGGAGTACCTGCGGTGGTATTCTTGTACTGCTTCTTCGAGAGTTTTAGATTGGCGGGACAGCATTGAGTTCCATTCTTCTTGTCCGGCTTTCATAAGGTCTGGGATGTTATGCTTAACATGGTTTCCCCCATAGATATTGGTAAAGTTGAAGTCATTAAGATCGATATTCAGGTGTAATGTGAACTTATGGAAATATACGACATAATAGAGGGTGAGTGAAAATGTGAAAATTGCAAAAAAAGCAAGAAATCGAGTATGGAATGATATTTGTGACCAGCCAGTACTGAAGCGGCTTTCTGGAAGGCCTAATCGGCGTCTACTAAACGTGTGTAGAGATATCATGCTGGCTGCCTTTGACCCTCCTCCTTGGAAAGAGCGGTAGAGGGGACATCACACATCTATATGAGTGAAATATCTCCCCTGAAAAGGAGAAACCATCACTACTAAATTAGTAAACTCTATGATCTTCAACTTGCAAAGACTCGTAACAGTCGCATGCAACACGTAATTGAAGGGCCTGCACTAGTTAACGGTGTTCGCAAGGGTTTATGGCTCTGCGGGACGGGAGATGGACAAGGGGATACGTACGCCATGCTTTCGCTTTTACTAAAGTCGGAAGTACATAATTACGACTGATGTGCCGGGATATCCATTTGGAATAACATGGTGGCCGCACCACTACTCCATACAAGTACATTTGATATATTAGCACGTTACCAGGTTCTACTAGACATACATGTACTTACATGTAGCTTATATAATGGGACATATAAGCTTACAAGTACAAGTCTGTACCCGTATCCTTTCCTTTCCATCTTTTTTTTTTCATTTCTCCATGTATTTCTATAGAGGGATTTAATTATACTGCCCTTGACGGCGATAGTTGGATAGAGCCCTTTTGGTGCCACCCACCCCAGCTTAGATATAGGACCGGATCGACGCCCAGAGGCCGCAAGTTAATAGGGGCCGTTAGATCACCTTAGTAGTATTATGGCCTATATATATGTTCCTCTATAATTCTTCATATAAACACTTTTCTTCCTTTGTAAGTCCCGAATTAACGGATGTGTTTTGTTGGTCGTACGTTCCCATTTATAGCTGACAGCCACAGAAGCACATAGCACTCGATTTCGTGATTTGATTCAAGAGTTCCGCGAAATGATCCAGTGAGGAGGAGGACAAAACTTTGTTCTAGTATCTTCCCACTCTGAGCACCAATAGTGCATCAAGTCATTGATCGTTGAAGATTTCTTGGTCTACCTAAATGTAGTATTTGCAAGCTTTCCCCCGAGTCCCGATCGCGGTATCGTTCCAACCCCCACACCCAGCCAAACCCCAACCCGGCTTCACTTAGATCCGTTAACACAAATCCTTGCTATCAGCACTTGGCAGGGGTAAATATTCAAAATCACGTGGTCGCTAATCACCAGTGGGTTAGTGAGGCTGTACTAGCTGAAACCCAGCCGGAGATTTGAGAGAGCCACACTACCCACAGGGACGATGAAGTGTAGACTGTGTCGAAGTTCTAGTTCCAGCTCTAGCTAGGGCCATATTCGAGAAAAAAATTTCATGATGGAGGCTATGCTTGTCTCAACCACTAACGGAACTTTCAAATGCTTATATTTTCTAGACCTAAGCAAGCCGCACGGCTGAGCGAGTAGGAAAGCCCGTAGGTGCTGCAGCTGGGCACATTTGCGAGCCGATATATCAGGGACGTTGGATATTTTGAGTCACTCTGGATCACTCGGTGGAGATGAAATTCGAAAATCCTTGGTAACAGTACTGCGAGGGGCTGTGTTTTCTCGTGAGAGACTCTGATTAGCTCGGCCTCAAAGCGAAGAGAAAGAACGAAGATTGCAATACATATATTGGTCTAAGCAGACCAGCTTGGAGGGGTCAGAATTTCAAGAATTCTTAAATATTGGAGTACTGACCGGCGCTTGGGTATTGTATCGTGACTCGCGTTTGGACACCTAGTTCCGCTGTACATCAAGTGCACCGCCAGAAGTACATCACGCACATGAATCCCCCCATTTCTCCAAGTGTCCCGGTGGAAGTTTTTTTAAAGCTCGGCGGGGCATATAGAGTGCGGATATCCATCCGTTGGGTTACGTCCGTGAGAAAAACCGGCCAAGAACAGAAGCTTGTGAGTACGAGTGCTTAAATATAGTTCAGAACCCAGGTAGGATTTAGCGAGCGCCAACACGGTAACCGACACGATTAAGTTTACCAGATAAGTTTTGGCAGCTCGTATACGTACGCGTAGAAACTATCACGTCCCGAATAGGATCTGCACCTCGGATGGAGTGATACCCTGTGACTGACCGCGTAGAATACGAATGTCTGGCACCAGGTTCATCGATAACTCAGATACGGCACTCAGCGTCCGCACGTAATCAGTCTTAGCTAGCCTCCTGTTCTTCGCGTTCGACGTGCATCTATGTACATAAATACATGTATCATATAAATACATGTATCATATCATGGGTACTAGGAGGTGATTATCAATACCCGCCAATTGTGCTAATTATCAAACTATTTCGAGGTTACATGTGCTTCTAGATGTTTGAAACTGGTCTGAAGAACAGTATCAGGAGTACTTGATGTATTGTGGGTCGCACAAAGCACTTTCACGGGCATCTATAGCCTATTCTAATGGGTACAATACTTAAGTATACTTGTTGGCTGGTGATTTATAATTACTTATCTGAATGCTTTAAGAGCGCCATCCGCATTTAGGTACGTACCTGCATAATGTTTGATAAATATTGGGGCGCGCTTGGGATTTTCGGTAAATGAGTGTTTTTTATATACATATTTGCAGCTTGTACTACATCAATATCGCCTACAAGCGCTCCAACAGAATTCTTCTCACAGATCAACACTGGGTAATCAAATCTCTTCAGTATAATACAAGTATGATTACTACATGTAAGTAGGATAATAGTAGTCTACTAATGCATATGCGACTACATGTATCGAGAGAGTTAGTACGTACTAGTAGTTGCGTTTTACAACTATATCCTAATCAATTCAAATAAGGTCTGTTTTAAATCATTTCTTTATCTTGATGCGTCCGCTATATAGTTACATGTACCTTGCGCTTCTCTCCTAGTCATCACTAATGTATCTACTGTTTAATACCAGTTACTATTAAACCTTCGCTTCGTTGTCCGCAACTATCGTCGACTGGCGTGACGATTGCCGCCGCCATCACTTATAGATTCTAGTGGTTCAAAGTAACAAGTATTTTGGGAGAAGTGGACAGGAGGAGAATTGAATAGAAGCACTTTGGATTATATCCAGTAGATATCTCCGCATCCTTCTCGCGGCAGTAGAAGTGTCTACATTGGAGACTATCAATACTGCTGACACAAATCTATCTCCTAGCATAGCAACCTGAGACGCCTCTTAAAGTACCCAGGAATCAATGCTGCAGGTGTATCCATAAAGGGAATTCCGTACTATTTCAATTGGAACTTTCCCTTTTTCGGACCTTCAAATGCCAGAAATATCTTCTGCCATGGGCAACGTTGACCGCATGATGACTTTCCAGTCAAAATTCTTTTAGACCGCATATTATGAACCACTAGGCCAACTAGCCCATCTCAGGCTAAATTCTAACGATTAAAAAGCAAGTAGTGGTAGCATGCTATATTGAGTAGATATCTCTTTCAAAATGATAGCTTATCATTCGACTCGGCGGCTATGCGGCATGTCGCCTTCGGCAGCTGGCGCTCAAGGTAGCATTTCTCATGTTTTTGCTTTTCACTATCGCGAGGATATGGCTAATTTATTGATTCCATAATGCTTTGAATTGACAGGAACGTCGCGGAGAAAAATAGAATCTGTGGTGCCTAAAATCCCTACGATAACACTTGTATTTGCTTGATGAATTTGTATTACCACAATCTGATACTCCCCGTGTAGATACCTTGAATGCTATCGATTTCTTTACCTAGAAACATTTGAGGTGCAAATCGATGTCACCATCATAGAGAAATGGTTTTCAAAACTAGAGATGAAGTCAGTACCGGTACCTTAACATGAGTCTTCTAATAATCGTTTCCATGTAACCCCTTAGCCCGAATAGGATGCTCCCAACTATTCCACCTACCAATTCGTTAAAAAAACGAGGCTGAACATCCCGAATTAATGACTGCTGGCCTATTAGCGCCCAGCGATTCCCCAGCTAAGATTCCTTGGCAACCCCACTGCGCGTTTCGGGCGTTTCATAGATATCATTTGGTTAGTTAATCCTAGCCCTAACAACCTTAAATGATTTTGAGCCCGAGTAGAATCACTGTATCCATTAGCGCTACATGCAGCGGGGAATGTGTTGTTGAGTTTAAGCTTGTCGGTCCTTAACTCTGCCGCCTAGCTGGGATTTCGCCCCCTTTCGTCGGGCCTTTCATGGGTTCAGCTTCTTCCTGAGAATGTATATAGAGATGCTAGTCCGCGGGAAGAGATAAAACTTAGTTCTAAGATATCAGTAGGACGCTCACTCTTTCCCTTGCGCAGTGGTTGATTCACGTCTTCCCTTCTTTGACGACAATACACTTTTGGTAATATTATTTCGATATACGATATCAAGTATATTCTCTCGATATCTTCCGGAAGATATTCAAGCCTGGGGCTTTACTATATATTTTATCAGCGGTACAGTTATATATATATCACTTTGATTTATGCCAGACTTCACCATGAAGTTCCTTACCATCATTTTCCTGATCCTATTCATCACTCTCGCGTCCGCCGCCGCAATCCGGAGAACCCCAGTTTCCGTAGTAGAGGTCACATCTCTAGTCCCCAGATTCAGCACTACATCTAGCAATGTCCTCAAACCCATTAATCTCGACGTCTTCAAATCCGCCATGGGCCTCTCAGTACGAGACACCGTCGACTTCTCGCGTCTCGACCCGGCCTCCCAAGCCGAGTTAATGTTCGGCTCGCCAGGCAACAATGGCAGCAGTGTTCTCCTTGCAAATATGACCCTCTATGCGCCAGACGGGCAGCAGATCGTCATGATGGAGAGTTTCGAAGGCCTTACGTCTGCAGTGGACTGCAAAGGTGACGATGGGACTATGTCCTTG